TCTGCGATGGTTTGAGAGCCAGGAAGCAACAGCCCTGGCTCTCATAACCAGAGGACTTGAAAGCATGACTTCAAGCCACACATGCTGTTTAGATGATTCATCAATGGAGAGTCCTGTAGCCAACAGAATCATTTACATTTCTCAAAATGCCTTTCCATTTACAATGCATGCCAGGGCACATCTCATTCCCGTAAAGCTTGCCTGTTAATGATTTTGAAGCAGACTTGATTAGGAATATAATTAAATTAATGCAAAAGAAAAATCATAAAAATGTAGAACCAATAGATACAGTGCTTGGTCCTTAGAGCTCCAACGTAGTATAGCACAGAAAAAAAGATAAAGGGACAGACAGGGCCAGATTAAAAGCCCAGTGGGCCTGGTGCTGACAATTATGACGGTCCTAATTACAGAATCATATCGACCAAAAACAGTAAAACACTCCCAAGCGTCATGTATCTGATGGAGATGGTGCTGGAGAGAAAGAAAACAGCAGCTATAAAAAAACACATACCCTATGCTAATCTCTCTCTAATTTATGTTTTCAGCTTTCAAGTAAATCCATAACCCCTAACAGCAGTGTCCAGTCAGGCAGGAAGTCAATGGGCAGGGTAAAAGGGTGTGCCACTGACACAAATCACGTAACCTGGCAAAAGGGGCAAACATGCCCAAAAAGAGGACATGTCTGCTCAAAGAATTAGAAGGCCAGCCTGGCATGAATGTATGTCAGGCTGCCTGCCAATCATGCAGCTGGCCAACTAAGGGCATCCTATGCAAGCAGCACCCTGAGCTTGGCCTTAATGCATCTAATGATGCGCTCACTCAACACTTTCTAAGGACTGTCCCCTAGCACTCGCTGGTCCACTTGTCTCCTTACCTTCTTACTAGCAGGCAGAAGCTCCTGGTATATTGTCTGGGACAGAGAAAAGCTGTATGCAGTGAGTGTAGAAGAAAGGGAACATGCCACAGTGTTAGAGAGACCAAAGTCAGCATTACCTTAAAGGACCACTATAGGGTCGTGAACACAAACATGAATTCATGACCCTATAGTGTTAACACCATCATCTAGCCCCCCTGGGCCCTTCATGCCTCCATAAATATAGCAAAATCTTACTATATTCAAGCCTGAAGCTGTAACTCTGCATGCTGTTAGACTCAGAAAAACAAGCAGTCTGCTGACATCATTAGAAGTGGTGGCCTGATCCAATCACAGTGCTTCCCCATAGGATTGGCTGAGACTGACAAAGAGGCAGATCAGGGGCAGAGCCAGCATGATTCAAACACAACCCTGGCCAATCAGCATCTCCTTATATAGATGAATTTAATTAATGAATCTCTATGAGGAAAGTTCAGTGTCTGCATGCAGAGGGAGGAGACACTGAATGTTTGGATGCATTTTAGGCAGCCATGACCCAGGATGGATCTCTAACAGTCATCTAAGGAGTGGCCAGTGAAGTTATCACTAGGATGTAATGTAAAGACTGCATTTTCTCTGAAAAGACAGTGTTTACAGCAAAAAGCCTGACGGTAATGATTCTACTCACCAGAACAAATTCAATAAGATGTAGTTATTCTGGTGACTATAGTGTCCCTTTAACTATATTCATTGTCAGCCAGTCCACACAAGTTTTGTTCCCATACATCCCACTTAAGTTTCCATACTTAAGTAAGAGTATGTGAAAAGTAGTTAGGGTTGCCACCTTTCTTGGAAAAACATACCGCCTTACTAATTTGCATAATTAAATATGTATGGGTGACATCACATGATGTAAATCACAAGGAGTGACATAAGAGAAAATGCTGTAAAATCACCAAAAAACTACTTAGTTTGATTCTGCTGTATAGATGGATTCCTCCCAGTGCCCCCATGTCTCCCAGTGCCCTCGTGTGTCAATTACTCCAGGTCTCAGTGTTCCTATGTATCAGTGTCTCAGTGCCCCATGTCTCCCAGTGTCGTGTCCCCAGGTCTCCCAGTGATCCTATGTATCACAGTGTCACTAGGATGACGGGGAGACCTGGGGACACAGGGAGACCTAGGGACACGGAGACACCAGTGACACTGGGAGACTAGGGGACTCTGGCTGGGACACATGGGGACAATGGGAAAATAGGGGACACTTGAAGACATGGGGACACAGACACCAGAGACACTGGCTGGGAGACATGGGGACATTGAGACATGGGGGCACTGGGAGACATGGGGACACTGAGACACCAGGGTCACAGACACTAGGGACACTAGCTTGGAGACATGGGGACATTGTGACACTTGAGGCACTGAGAGACATGGAGGCACTAGGAGACATGGGGACAGTGAGCCACTGGCAGACTGGGGGCACTGGGAGACTAGGGGGCACTGAGACACCAGGGACACTGGCTGGGAGACATGTGTCTGTGTCATAATGTCTCCCAATGTCCCTTAGTGTCTCAGTGTCTGCCATAATGTCTCCCAGTGTCCCTTAGTGTCTCAGTGTCTGCCATAATGTCTCCCAGTGTCCCTTAGTGTCTCAGTGTCTGCCATAATGTCTCCCAATGTCCCTTAGTGTCTCAGTGTCTACCATAATGTCTCCCAGTGTCCCTTAGTGTCTCAGTGTCTGCCATAATGTCTCCCAGTGTCCCTTAGTGTCTCAGTGTCTGCCATAATGTCTCCCAATGTCCCCTAGTGTCTCAGTGTCTGCCATAATGTCTCCCAGTGCCCCTTAGTGTCTCAGTGTCCCCATGTCTCCTTGCAGCCTTTCCCCCATCCCTTCCTTCCCTGAGCTGTAGGCTGTCTCTGCAGGGTGGGAGTTGCTGTCTGGACTCTCTGTAGCGGCACCCCTGCAGATCAGTGAGTATAGGTAGGCAGGGAGGGCTATGCTGGAACTTCCTATACCTGCCTGTCTCCACACACAGCAACCCCTACTGGCCAGTGCTGGTATTGCATAGTAATCTCTTTTATACTGATAAAAATACCAGAATTTTTATTTCCAGTATCACTGCAATTGGCACCAGCCAGGCAGCCTCAAATACTGTCTGTGCCAATAAAATAAAAGCCAGGTGGAATCCCTAAGAGTAGTGTGTGAAA